TTTCTTTCTTTCTTTCTTTCTTTCTTTCTTTCTTTCTTTCTTTCTTTCTTTTTTTTTTTTCTTTCTTCTTTTTTTTTTTTGCAGACTCAGGCTGCCTTAAGGGCTGGTCTGGTGCAGCTTGTGGAGCTGGGGATTGAACCCTGGTCCCCGGCACCTGACTGGTTTTGCCCAGGCAGGCGCTTAAACAACTGAGCTAACCAGCAAGCCCCAGGATTCCTCTTAAGCTGTAAAAATATGGGCAAGCTGAGAGACAGGGCAAACACACACATTCCGAAGGACATCTCTGAACCATGCCAGCGGCTCTGTGGGGAACCCGCTTTTCAGGGAACAAAGCATTTGTGTGTAGCATGTGGCACATCTCCCTGTGTGAGACTGCAGAGAGCTGCTGGGTTTTTGTGGTTTTCTACACACTGGCTTCATACAATGTTCTTAGGTTTTCCTCCAAGATCATAATAAGGGTTAATTCATAATTGATTTTATCTCCCTTTTTTATTTCTCAGTACCATCTGGCTTTTCTACAAGAACATTTACTATTGTTATAGCACTAAATACACACACCAGCATCACAGAATGTTCAACAGATTCAAATGGAATGAATCCTTGCATGTATATAAAGCAAAGAAGGATAACATCTGTAATGGGTGATCTGATTACCCCCGTATGCCTTACCAGAGATTGGAAAACTCAACAGGCCTTTAGCATTTTCAGTTATATCTAATGTCAAGGAAAAGCATTTGCTATGCAAAGAAGGAGAAGAGAGCGGAGCTCGGAAGGTGGCTTCAACCCTTTCTGAGGAAGAGCTTGTAAACGTGGAGAAAGCTGGGAAAAGGTGGGGACCTGTGCTGCTGAACCGTCAGCACCCTGAGGCCTTCCCCTTGCTTCCTTTGCTGTGTCCCTCACCCTTGGCTCTCACTTCTCCACTGCTGCCACAGCCTCGTTATGCATTTCTCCTGAGGGCTGTAGCTCCAGGTCAAGGTGAGAACTGGACCCTGGATGCAGTTCGCCCACTAACTTCCTGATGTCTAGGACGAGCGCTGCTTCCTGGCAGGATGAACTTTACAAATTCAATTGCTAGATCTGGGTACTATCTGCATTAGAAAATTCTAGGCTTCTTCTGGTTGTGACATTCCATGATATCTCTGCAATAAATATCTTTTTTTTCCAAATTAATGAAAACAGCTTCTTGTTTTAACTTTTGGTGATTGCACGGAGCTAGAGCCCTAACTCCAGCTGGAGCTTTCAAAGACAAAGGCATGATCTTCTCATACTTGGGCTTATACATCTAAACTGGTAAATTGGATATTTTAGGGAGAATCTTTATACTTGGACAAAGAAAACAAACTACAACCCCAAAGAAATAAAGCTATCAGAAGTACAGAAATGGGAGCCTAACAGTTACTTCCTATTAGTTTTCTAAACATTCTCTTCATATTATATACACGGAATGACAGTGGGAAAAGTTGGGTGATTCTCTTTAGGCTACAATTTAAATTTAAAAAGGAGAACACTAATGGAGAATCTACACAATGTATCTCCTGAGAGAAGAGCACACAGTTCTTCTTAGTTTTTCTAAATCATGGTGTTGGTACTCAGCACACAGTAGGCACTCAATACATACTCAGACATTGAATGAATTAAAGTCTCTGAGAAATAGAAAATACAGTGGCATCTTGCTTCATGAATTTGATTCTTCCACCATTGTGGTTTCAAACTGAGTTTGACAAGAACTGAATTTAATTCAATGGTTAGGTTCAATATTGACCTTCTGGGAAATTTCATTCAGTTCTTGTCCAGTTTGGTTTGTAGCCAGAATTGTGGGGAAAATTGAGCTCATGAACCAAAGCACCACTATATAAATGTTCTTCTTGTTCAATGATAACATGTTCATCAGGGAAAAAAAAGACATAATTTTATTATTTTTTTTTCTTGATTTAGAAACACCCACCTGCAACTCTACTCAATCTTAATAAAAGACTGAGAACTGGTAAAACTCACAACACGTTTAATCTCCTGAATTTGTTTCAGGTTTTAGTTCCCAGTACAATCTAAGTTTAAGAAGTTTCATATAAATACCTCATACAGTTGCAAGCAGATAGCATCTATGAATCCAACTTGCATACTGGGGATTTTGTTTTTCTTCTCCCTGTTCATTAGATCCTGAAAATGTAAACAAAGACACAAAACACAACGAATGTTGATTCAAAACATAGGAACACAGATTCTCTAATGGGGTGGGAAACTTGAGATGGAAAGGTGAAGAAGCAGGTGAGGGGGAATTATAGAATTAAGATATGTTAAATCTATGTCCAATTCCCCATGATGAATGCAATCATTACGTACAGCAGACATGCATTAATAAATACAAAAAATAAAAAGATGAGAAAATAGGCTATCTCAGAAAGGTCAGACAGAAATGATATTGGCGCATGTTCTTATACCCTCTGCCCCAAAAGGAAGAAAACCCAGTTTCATTTTTAAAGGACAGAAGTGGTTTGAGAAGAATCTTTTTTCTTGTATCTTGGAGTCTATACTCAATGTAAAAAGGAATATGCACGAAACACCTTTAAATTCTTTCTGGAAATTTAATAAAGGTAATAAAAATAAGGCACAAAAAACTATAACAACCATGATGTTTGTCACTGTGCTGTTCATCACAATGAATACTGCGTACATCATTACAACAGAATAAGTTTTGACTACATTTATTTCTAGTAACTATGATAAATAAAACACAGAAGAGCATCCATTAGAATAAAAAGTGTCTTAAGGTATTTAAATACAAAATGCAGAATCCAAAAATGTGGCATAATATGACATCAGGGACCTTTCTGTCCTCTTATTTGTCTTTGGTTTCTGTAATGAACACATAAAGTTGTTTTAATAACAGAAATTGTTCAAAAATAAAATAAGAAACTGTAAGACCAACAAGAGATCCCATGGAAGCATAGAAAGGAGTATAATTTTAAAAGTCCGTTTGTGTAATTCCCACCCACGAGGTCTCCTACTTACTGTGGGCTCTATGTTGAGTTCTTTTCTCTCTCTGTCTCCTTGATCAAAAAACTCAGTTGCTACAAGTTCTGCTATCTGAAATGAACAGCATACTGAGTTTGGGTAACAAAAATCTTAATACTCTTTGAAACAAAAGTTTTTAAAGAAAACAGTAAAATCTATTAAGTGCAATAGTTTGCAACCACATCAATAAAATTAAGCTGTAATGAATACAGCTATAATTAGTAGAGAAGATTATACTTCATTTGTTTTTAAATGTCTAATTAATGTATTAAATGACTAATAATAAGGCTAGAGTTTGTAATCTTGTGTAACTCAGCATAAAAAACATGTTATCTTAACTCCACCAATTAGTGGAACAACCATGGACCTCTCTGCCTGTGTAATCAGGGAGTTATTTATTAAGCACCTGTTAATAATGATACAGTGAAAAAACGCAGCATCAAACAAGTACATTTACTGTGACTGCCTTTTCAATTTCTTTTAAGCTACAAGGTCTCCTCTTTTCTGTCTCTGAAAATGTTCTTGTACTTTTATTTTCAAGATTAAGGGCTACACTTCAAAAATTCCCAAGGTGAGCCAGAATAGTACTGAAATTGAAACTTAACAGCTAGCTCTCTTCCTTAGCATTTGTTCTCTTTCTTAGCATACCATACAGGTGTTACGTGCAAACGAATGTTCTAGAAAGGAAACTATAGTTTATGCCCCACTCTGCTTTTAACAGTAGTTGAAATTAGGGAAAAATTCCACAAGCACTTACTGCAGATGCTATGTGTACCTGAAAAGCCTTCTTACTTCAGCTGTTTAGCTATTACACTTATCATCACTAAGCAACGTACCCGTTGTTGAATAGGCCAAGGCTTTGTAATTGCAGAAAGGTCACAGGCCGTCATCAGCATGGCTCTGGTAGAGGAAGAAGAAACCCCAGACGCTGATTTACATTTACAGACTCATACAAAAGAAAATGTCCTTAATAAAAACACAAAATTAAAATCCTCTCAACCATTAGGAACAGCAGTTCATGAAGGCCGCAGGAACAGAGATAGAATTTATACAGAGTGGACAAATGTGTCACTGTTGTTTTGGTTCCCTGTGAGCTTCCGGAGCTTGCGCTCAAAGTGCCTCACTGAGCTCTCGGGTGGCATAAAGAGGAGTTATTAACCTCTGCGTACAAGCTTGCCTGATATTATTATTCCTTTCAGCATGGTAGCTGTTCTCAGGGGCAGCATGAAGAGAGCACTCTCATTTTTTTAACACTTAATAATTTTATTGAGAAACAAATAGCAATGAGACAGTTTCAAAACTCATCAGTAGGACAGTTTCAATAATAAATACATTGCACATTGTTGTCTCAGTGGTTATTCATTGTACAAGATGCAGATATGACATCCCGCCCACAAACACTATTAGAACAAATCCTCTTATTCATTGAATTAAGAGAATGTAGCTGTATATCTAGCCTATTTTGAATATATAGATACAAAATGATCATTCATTTATATCCCCCCCCCTTTTTTGTTTAGTTTTGTCAGAGAAGGGTATTCCTTTGTCATTTGAATATTGTAGCTGGTGAATTCAGCAAAACATTCCAACACAGTTCAGCAGTCCATAATAGTAGTGGGTCATCTGCAGGACTGGCAATGTTAGAAGTTGTTGACCTGAGCCCTTTACAGCCCAGCATACCAACATGGCTTCACCCCTTATACCTCGTTTTTATACCTTTCTGAGGGATGATTAAGACCAAGATAAAGCAAGACCTATATAACAAGAAATGTAACTTTTGTATCTGATAAGGTCAGTCAAGTCCCCTCAGGATTTATCCTGAAACCTTGTACCGCACTTGGTAGATCCTTTGTCAGTGTCAGCCATATGGATGAGTCACGGCCATTGCTTGACCAATTAAGCACTCTCATTCTTAATAATCAGCTGTCGGGGATACCACCAGCTTACTGATACTAGTGCCGAATCTGAAATGACGGTGGACCATCCTAACTCACAACGTGCAGTATCTTCTCCATGAAAAGCCTTTGCATGATTAAAGCATGTGTCGGAGACGCTTCCTTATTCTCCATCAGATAAAGGGTCTTGAGAAATGAAAGGAAGCTGTCAGTCCTTCCCTGGCCAGAGGCCTGCGAGCTGCAGCATTTCTGGAGGATTTGAATAATACCTGCCAATATGAACTGCCTCCTGGGGGGAAGGCTGTGCATCTAACTGAGCTTACCTACAATCCCCAAAATGAAGGTAACAGCAGTGGGGATGCTGAGTGAGGGTCCTGCCAGACACGGGTCCGGGGTGGGGTCGTGGTAACCTTAGGTGAGTGCAGCAGGAAAAACCAGCCAACATGTATGTTTACACCAACATATAAAAGTAAAACATCACTAATAAAAACACAAAATTAAAACCCTCTCAACTATTAGGAACAGCAGTTCATGAAGGCTGCAGGAACAGAGCCAGAACTTATGCAGAGGTGAACACAGTGCCTAGCCATAGTACTGCTAGTTCATCCCCTCTCTCCCTTTTTTAAAATTTTGAGACAAGGTTTGCTTAAATCACCAAGGCTGACCACCAACTCTTGATGCCCTTCTGCCGCAGTCTGCCAGCCCGGGATTCTGGGGTGCCAGCACACTTGCCACCTGCTTCTCTTTATTACTTCGGGTTCTTGCCATGGCCGAGATAGTGACAATGACAGCAAAAAACTAGAGGGAGGAGGCAGGTGTACTGGTGAGGACAAGCAGAGGTTGTGATGTCCCCTCTTCTGACTGAGCTATGCTGTTATCTCTGGAGAGATGAGAGCCCTTCACGCCAGCTTTCTGCTCCAGCCGTCTGTGGAGGCTACCTTCAGTGGAGCCATTCCACACCAGGAGGGGAGTGAAGCACAGGGAAATGGACAGCTCTGAATTAATACTCTACTCTTACACTTGAGAGAGGCCCATCTAGAACAAAGGAGCAACTTTTTTCTGTATTTTAGGGAAGGGTCTACAGGGTCTTCAGGTTCTCACTACTAGATCAGACTCACAGTGATCCTCCTGTTTACAGCCTCCGAAGAGCTGGGATTACAGGCATGCGCCACCACGCCCAGTCTCAATTGCCATCTCAGTGCATCCTGGGGGTGGGGCCAGCATAGCACGCCTGGGGATCGAATCCTCTGTCACTGGTCTTTGTGCCTTCTTGCAGGCGCTTTAATCCTCTGAGCTATTTGGCCTGCCCAGGAGCAACTTATCTCCTTGAATGCACAAATGCATTTCTTTTCAAGCATCTCTTCATATTTGGTCCTTTGTATAATACGCTAGAGAAATCTGAGGCTCATGATTGTCACGCTGAACAAATGCAGTGAAAACTGGCAGTGAGAAAATTAACTGGGTAGCGGTTAATTTACAACCTGCCATAGTTAATTTGTAAGCATAGAAAACTGACTTACAAAAATAATTCCTTTTGATGAGGATCTTCGAAATTGAACTGATTTTTTCTTATAAGTTCAAAAAATTCTCCTCGTCTCCTTGAAAATAAAGAAAAATATTTGTAGTTATGACGCTCCCACAGGTTTTACAAGACTCATGAAGTTACATTAAAAAACTTTAATATTTTTTCCATCTCTATTTTTCCCTCAGCTTAGATGAACCCAGTATAAAAGCCATCACTTAAAAGTACTTCTTATCTCTTTACCTCTTCTTGGAGTTCGAGGTAGAGCATGAAAACTAATGTACATTTGATTACAGACCACAAATAACGGCAACTTCAAAATTTGGAATATTTTTAGTTAAAAACAATTATAAAGGTGACATGAAATAATTTAAAATAGTTTAAGTCCACAGCACAGCAAGATGTACAGGCTTTGGCTTAGCCTCGCCTATTTCACTCAGTGTACTATGGAACAGGTTAAGAAGGGGCAATCAGGTTGTGAGGTGAACTGCAGAAACACCAGGTTACACTTAAAATATTATTTACTATTATTCAATGAATATAAGATTCAGTGTGTAGTCAATTCCTATGTGGCTAAAACATTGTTTTAAGAAGCCACAAGAATTATTCTTTTCACATCTAGCCAGAGATAAAAGCCTCAAGGAAAAAACACCTTATGCAAGAAAACCGTCTGGTATTGAATACCAAGCATGACAAACAAGCATCAGATGGTCAGAGGAGAGACCTCAGGGGCCCGGGAAGACTGGCAAGGTGTTGTGGTTATAAGCATTTTCAAATTTGTGTTAATCTAATAATTCTTGTTCTGTAATTATAAAGAATAAACTGTAGTTTACTGTAGTTTTCTTTTGTTTTCATTGAAGTTAAAGTGCTCCAAGGCTCTCTTGATATATAACAGCGATACTGGCTGTAAGCTTTTTTGTGCTTGTTCTATTGCTATTTTTGCTTTTCTTAAGAGGGGCTGTACCAGGCAGGGAATCAGTCTCTTGGTGACTGGGGAGAGACCTGGGTTGCACAGTCATCTGGTGAGGGTGACTCCTGGCTTCCAGAATGCCCACACACACATTCAAGTATTTTCTCTGATTGTTCACACGTAGGAAAGTATTTTCTCGTTTTTAGAAAAGTAGTTTAATCATGGGAATACATAGTGTTAAATAGTCAATACCGCTCTCAAATACAGCCTTATTTTAGAATTGGTCACCTTGAGTTTGCATATTAAAATGTTCTTCTGCCAGAATCAAAGAAAAAGAAACAGGAATCACTGTTTCGGGCATTCGGCCTCCATGGCAGCCCACCTAGCAGTGATGAGAGCATAAGGACACTGTGAGACGGGCAGAAGCTGAGAGTGACGGAAAGGAGGAAGAGCAAAGGCTGTGTCGTCTTCACACGGCCTCAGTGGTGTGGAGGAGTTCGGCATTTGACCCGAGCACAGCTCCAGAGAGGAGGAGATGAATATTAGTAACTATGTTTTCAGTATTTCTGAAAGTAACTAAGACAAAGGAGCAGAATTCTCTGGCTGCCTCTAACTTCTCCACAGGCTGATAAACAGCCTTGTCAGGATGTTTGTCTTTGGGACGTTCCCAGTGTGGATATTAAAAGCTCGAACCAACGCAAACACGTCCAAGACTTATTTTGGAGGGTATTTCTTATAACTTACTTAATGTACAGTGCTAGGTCTGTAGCTAAAATAGCTTGCTTGATTATTTTCAGCGTAGTCTTATATTCTTCAATGGAGAGGCCACTGAGAATCTGATTGCCCTTTATAAAAGCAAAAAAGAAAGAAAACCATCATTAGTGCTTGACTCAGAGAAAGCTGCTGACAAGAACAAACTGGACATACAATCGCATGTCTTAAAGTCATGCCTAATGTTCAGCACTCATGAATATGCTTGCTTACTTAAATACCACGAAATCAAGTCACAATTCCCACCACAAGCTCACTCCACATCTTGTCATCTAAGAAAAAGAAAAAATAGCTTCATATCTCCCTACACATGCTTGTTTGTCCAACTCCTCTACTCCTTGAGCCTTATCCAGATATGAAATCTAACAGCTTTATATCCTTTACTGTTGGGAACATTAATTCCTATAATCTTAGAGCAACAAAACTTTGAAAAAAATCAAAGCCATACTGATAGACGTAAATAATAGAATTGTGAAAATTTTAAATGATTGACTACTGTCAAGTCATTGTATGTTTTTTGCAATAAACCCCATCACACTTCTGGTGCAAGCTTATAGGTCTCATTCACTACTGAGGGCCACATGTGTTCTTTTGGACTATGAAACATAGAGGGCTAGTGGTGTATGAGCATGGAGACGATGCCCTCAAGTGAAGTCAGACACGTGCGCTTGAAGAGCGTATGGCTTCTCTGGTGTGAGAAACCGAAAGTGTAAATGACAACCAAAATGTACAACAGATAGTGGGAAATAGAAAGAAAATATTCAAATGGGAAAGAGAACAAGGGAGGGGGTAGCGGGACAGGAAGGAAGGGACAAGAAAAGGAGAATGAAAGAAAAAATGGGAACAAAGCTTTGTATACAAGAAGGGGAAGAAGGGCTGCAGGGGGGAGGCAAAGGAGAAAAAAGCAGCAGCGGCATATGCCTTGTGCAGGTACAAATTCCCTACCATGAATGCGATTGCTGTGTATATCTAAAATGTGTCAATAAAATAATACCTGAAAAAAAAGAATTTCTGGGCTAAACCAACTACAAGGAATATGCAAAAGGGGGCTGATCCATGTGCACAACATTGAAGGTTTTCCTATATAATCTCTTTTTATTTCTTGCCTATAATTTAGAGCAGAAAAGATCTCTAATCTTGAGCTAAGTGAAACACACAGCTGACCACTGAGAGTATGCACAGAACATCTGTAAATGGAGCCAGATGTGTTTCATAAGTCACAAGACCAAGAAGAAGAAGACTGGAGGCTTAGGAATAAGATCTGGAGGCAAAGGATTTGTTGTGAAGAACAGGAAACCATTGGGAGTGCTGGGAAGGGACTAAAAACCACTGGCTAGAGGACCACCCCCACACTGCAATTGTGGCGTGGGCCTAAATAATGATATAAATCTATGATTGCAATAAAAACATTTAAAAATATTAAGTCATTTTAGATTCAAAGCCATCTGAAAACTACTAAGAAAATGTCTGCATTTAAGGTAAAAACTTCAAACAGAAAATGGTATATCTTTTGGCGCTACAGTCTTATTTTCTTTCCAAATGCAAAGGTAGTAATTTTTTTCTTCAACTGTGCTTACAATGAGATAATACATAGACAGCTCTGGTCAGCTGAGCCAGCCACACGTACAATGGATGTGTTTAACTAACAACGTGTTAAATTAAGTGAGTGACTTTAAAGTTGGTGTCTTAGTTATTTTTCTCATTGCTGAGACAAAATATCTGACACTCACAAGTTAATGGAGGAAAGGTCTATTTAGCTCAGTTTGCAGAGGTTTCAGTCCGTAATAGACTGGCTCCAAGGCAGGGTGGCATGATGGACAGACATTGGCAGAGGAAAAACAGTTCATGGTGGGTAGAAGTTAGAAAAGCAAGCAAGCAAGCAAGCAAGCAAGGGGCAACCCCAACTCGCCTTATGTAGGGCAGGTGGCACTCACACCCTTAATCCTAGTGCTCTTGGTCCTAGCATTACACCATGAATCAATTCCAGCATGGCACAATCTAGACCCAGTTAGCTCTAAAAAGTGCCGCCTATGACTGCATCAGGCTTTGGGGGTCATCTAAACACAAGCTGTAACACTGGGTGGTGTGGCGGTGCCTCTCTGTAATCAAAGTTACTTTCCTGAGACAGGATGATTGCAAGTTTGAGGCCAGCATGGGTAACTTAGTGAGACTGTGTGTTAAAATTAAAAAAAAAAATAAATAAAAAGGGGTGGTGATGTAGTTTTGGGGTAGAGCAGCCCTAGGTTCAATCCTTAATATCAGATACACATAGCATAATAACTGATGTGTAATTGGATATTAAAATAAAAGTCTTAGCTGAGGTACATTGATAGCAAATTCCAAGCAAGCACAGAGGCTTCTGCTATGACACAGTGTGTACATTTTTGCAGTTTCAGCTTTGGAAGGCTGCTCACTAACAGTAATGTCTTTTTTGGGGGACACAGTGTTGGGGTGGACCAAGAGGAGCCTATGCAACTTTGTAACCAGAGCACAAACTGGATCCATGGTCATAGAGGCCTGCTGGCTCTGCTGGGCCCTGCAGGATGTTAAGCACACACTCTCTCTCCCCCCTCTCTTTCTCTGTCTCTCTCTCCCTCTCTCCCTCCCTCTCTCTCTCTCTCTGTCTGTCTCTCTCTCTCTCTCTGTCTCTTTCTCTCTGTCTCTCTGTCTCTGTCTCTCTCTCTCTGTGTCTGTCTCTGTCTGTCTCTGTCTCTCTCTGTGTCTGCCTCTCTGTGTCTGTCTCTATCTCTCTGTCTCTGTCTCTCTGTCTCTGTCTCTGTCTCTCTCTCTCTCTCTCTCTCTCTCCCCAGGTCTGGAGGTGTGGGAAACTATAAGGAGGTCTAGAAGTGAGGCTGGATGGAGTTAGAAGAAACACAATACAAGGAACAAGAAGCTGAAACTTAAATCAAGCTCTAACTTGGAACAATTACACAGGGCTGGACGCTAGTTTCTGAGCTGAGGACTATATACCATACATTGGAAACTAGAGTAGCTAGAGGGCTTTTACTTATAAAACAGTGAACAACAGCAACAAAAAGTCTTGGGACTCCCTGGGTTTTCTTCCCTGGTTCAGGTAACAGTAGCCACTAGCCAAAGTTAAAGCTATGTTATTAAAACTGCTTTAGGATTACATACCACACATTGTGCTTACTGGATATAATAGTTAACAATTTCCATTTTTATTACCGCAAACATAATAATCCTATTTAACAAATAATGTGAGCAACTCCTTCCAATAATAAAAAGAATCAATAATTTCATACACAAAACTATTGTTAATATTCTGGTGTACATTATTTTAATCATATTTTCCTCAACATCAGTATTTCATATCATATCATTATAGACCATATCATATCATATCATATCATATCATATCATATCATATATATTTTCTTACACTTTTAAGTATCTGTTTATCCAAGTAGTGAAAGAGCTTTACTCCTTAATAAATGTTTGTTAGTGATTGCAAGTTTCAATAATAAGGGACAGCTGGGAAAGTAGTAGACTGTTTGCCTAACATGCGCAAGGCCCTGGCCTAAATTGCCAGTACTGCACACAAAGTTAAAATAACAACAATAGCAACAAAAAGAAACAAAAACTAAAGAGGAAAGCATTGCCTTGTGAAAGCAAACCCTGAAATGTATCAATCACTTCACTGATTTAAAAAAAAAAAAAAAAAAGCCTACTTAGCCAAGAGCTCACCAAATACCAATGTCGTTTGGAGTAACCAATCAGGATGACCAAATTTCCCTGCTTGACTGGCCCCACTTAGATGGTTTTGCTGTGGACACAAGTGAGGCTGAGAGAATCTCAAATGTTTTGGCTTCGCCTTCCTTACCCAAAAAGGAATAGAGCATGTTCAAGAATTTATGATGCTGGGAATAAGTCCAAAACCTAAAAGTGCAACTGAATTTATGGAGCTCTCTTTGAAAATTGCACAACAGCAGACGAGGTACTTACAGGACTATTAAGAATCATCAAGCACTGGTCGAAGTGGTGGTGTTCCATGATGGAGTGGCAGTAGAGCTGGGCAAGTGGATGTTCACTTCTAAAAAACATTTTTGTGGAAGCAAGAGAAAGAAATCATTTTCCCAAATGTGTCCTCTTATCGAGTCATTCACAAAACCAATCAAACAATTGTGTGTCCTGCTAAGAAAAACAGAGAGGCAATCTCTGGGAAATAAACAGAAAAAGTCAAATTGATTTTAACTCCCAATGTAACTTGCGCCAGCTTAAGTGTCAACAATTTCACCAGTTTTCATACTGAATAAAACAGTAGACGCATGAGGACAAAGCTAATTTTTCCTAAATGTTAAAAAATCTACTCTATGCTGTTATGTGTGTTATGTTTTATACCTTGATGTCACCCTGAAGTCTTGAGCTCGTGGGTGGGGCCTTTCCAAGGTGACTGACTGGATCCTGGAAGATTAATATTCAGATGAGCTTACAGCTAACTGTGACAGTGAGAGGTGGAGCCTGGTTGGAGCAGGTGGCCTGAAGGTGTGGCTTGGAAAGTTCTGTCTCCTAGCCCTATTCCTTCCTGGACGCTCTCTGCTTCCCATCTATCATGCCATGAACGGCTCCCCTCTGCGGTGCCCTCTCACCATGCCATCCTGCTTGGGAGCCAGCCAAGTGGGAGCCAAAAGAAACATCGCTTGCTCTAACTCTGCAGATGTTACATCTCAGCATGAGGAAAGAGACGGGCAATATCTGAATCACAGTGTACTAATCATATTTTTCAATGGCAAATTACGACTGACCTAACATCTAAAACCAGCTCATGTGGTAGCTTTTCCTCTGAAGTGATACTCAGGATAAAGGCCAGCTTATTCGTGTATGTACAGAAAAAGAACAGAAAACAACAGAACAGAACAGAACAGAACAGAACAGAACAGAACAGAACAGAACAGAACAGGAGTAAGACAGAATTAACTGGGATGTGGGTAATGGCAGGCAAAGGGCCAGTGAGTGACAGCCCCCTTGGAAGGAAGGAGGAGGCCACCGAGTCTGAGAATGTAAGGTCTGGGTTATTCCAATGTGGGACATTTGTGAGCTCGCTAATTTGAACTTGGGACATGTTAGAGACCTCTGTGCTGAGTCAAGAGAGAGGAAGGCCATCATTCTGCTTGCTACATGTGGGGGTCACAAATCAAGCGCTAAGGCACGGCAGACCCAGTCCTCTGTTTCATTGTTCTCATGACTCTTCACCTATGAATGAATATTAAGCCATTTTCAGTCCTCTTCAAGTATCTGAAAAATTTGCTTTTCAAGTTTATAGGAAAGAAGGTATATGAATTTCAAAGCACCCCCCAAAGAATTAGGGACTATTGGAGTCACTATTTTTACTGTGCATTTGATTTGTAAATGAGAGGTTGTTACTGAGGATGGAGAGGTTTACCTGAGCTGGAATCAACATAACATAGGAGAAAATGGGCAAAGTGAGAGATCGGGAAAGCAAAAGCAGGGAAATGAAAATACCGGGGAGAGAACAGGTAAGCTCACCTACCACACTTTAAGCGATCCGCTCTCTTGCCGATTCTGCCCTGATTCACTTATGCCTGCTTGTACTCTTCCCTCCTGCCATACTGAATGAGCTGTTCTCTGGATCAGACACAATGCTTGTGGTTGGGTGACAGAAAAAAATGAATGGAGTAACAATAGCTTTGAGAAAAGGAGGAAACTGCAACAAGACTGTGTCTAGTATCACCTACTCTATGTAGGATAGCTGCTAGTATTCTAAATAAATGAGCATGGATAAAGAGGAGTGTTTTCTGAGAACTGTTGAGGAGGTAGCCTGGGTAGGCGCTGGCTGTGAATCCAGTCTGGGAGTGGGATGAGGGAGATGAAAGAGAAAGGAGTCGAGGCCAAGCTTCTTAGCAGCCGTACAGAAGGTCTGCCTGACACAGGAAAATGGGGATGAAGGAAGGGAGGTTGGCTGCTCAGATCTCTTGGCACCTGAGAAATGCCCCACCGAACATAAATGGTGGACTTGGGTCTGGGTTGGGGATATAGGTTTGTGATGCACCAAAATGCAGGTGGTGATCCCAGCGGTGGTACCAAGGAGATGAACCAGGGAGGTGGCCTGTAATGACAGCAGGGGCCCAAAAAAACAGAATTGATGATGTTCCTTTTGTATCCTGCTTTTGGTTTATATTCTGTATTTTGGCAATGCTGTTTTCTCTTCGCTCAAATGAGCTGTGCTAAGGTTGACCTTAATATGACAGTTGCTGTTTTCCCCATTCTCTTTAGGTAGAATAAAAAAGAGAAGCTTTTTGAAGTTTGCTGTTCTCATTTGTGTAAGAAATGAAGGACACACAACTAGTTTATATCACCTCTATTCTGCCAAGTTTCAGCTGCTTACAAGTCTATCACCCTGCTGCGATGCAAATCAAATTCTCTTGAATTTGTTGACATTTATTTTCCTGGGATTACAGGCACGAGCTACAATTGCCCAGTCTCAATTGCCATCTCAGTGCGCCCCGGGGGCGAGGCCAACACAGCATTTGCTGCCATGGGCTGAACCCTGGTCCCTGCACTCTGCCGAAGTAGGCACTTTAGTTCTTTGAGCCATCTGGCCGGCCCTAGTGTCCACTTTAGTACCCACCTTAAGAGGCTCCATGCAGGGACCAATCAGAAGGCACCTTGCCTGGCTCACTCTTGTACCTCTCAGGCCAGCCCTGCAGCTTGCTAAGCCAGGTTGTGTCCACAGTGCTGTCCACACTCACACCTGTTCAACCATGAGTGCTTTGGTACTGAGGCCGCCACTGCCTAGCGGGTCATGAGAGCATGTGCAGAAGCTGCCTGTTGTCTTGTAGGTGAATATTGCTGGGTCTTGTTTAATGAGAATCTCTACCAGCATCTAACAGGGCTGAGCACCAGTTGCTCATGTGGGTAGTCATTGGTTATTTCAAAATATCGGCTTTCCCTCCTTTTCTGTTTCCTTCTCAGTTCTGTTCCCTGGAGTCATATTCACAAAGAAGCTACATATACAGCAACTTCGGTCTCAAGCTGTGTCTTCAGATAGCCTAGTGACATCTCTCTAAAATGGGCATTTCTGTAGTTTTCAGAGAACTCCAGGTTCAGAGAGGTTATCTAGCCTGCTCAAAGCTGGCATCAGTGGCAGAGCTGGGATTCAAATGCATCCTCTTCTCTGCACCAGTGTCTCATGACACTGCAGCACTTGGCACGCGGCATCCGCTCAGTGACCTAGTTAGGAGCCAGACTAGGAAATGCAATTAGGTGGCTGTTACACAAGTAAGTTAGAACTTCAGATGCACATTACAGTTTTAGGATGATGCAAAAAGGACTGTTTCACATTAGAGAAAATTCTTGGCTTGTGAGACAGACAGATGCAAATCGTGTTTCTCTTTACTTGCACTCTAAAAATACAGATTTATGAATCAATAAAATGGTGACAAATGCCTCAGATTTCCTGTTTACACAAATATGCCTGGAAACCAATGGACCCAACATCCTGTTGCTTTTCATTCTTTCAAACACAAGCCTGTATTGCCACCCTACTTGAGGCAGCACCAGAGAGATCTACTTAAGCCACCACCACTGTGAGATCCTGCCTCTCTGGTCTTCACCTTTTGCCAACACTAACTCTGTGATACTGCTTCTCATCTGTATGTATTATTCTATGCTCAGAGCTCTGCTAATCTCCAATAATATAAGACAAGATCTTGAAGTCCTGCCTGTCATTATAAGCATCGTCGATGAGAACAGTTAAACTCTACAGAGTACTTGCTAAGTGTTCCATGCATTTCACATGTATTTGTGTCCTTTTGATTCTAACAAATAACCTTAGATAGGGACCTTCGTACAGAGAAGGAAACAGGAATAGAGGTTGTCACACAATGACTTGTGTGAGGTCAAATGATGAGAGAAGGAAGCCTCTGATGCAAACCAGCCTTTATCCATCAGAACCGCTGCGGACACTGCAAGACTGCAAGACAGAGGACTAAACAGAGTTCTGAGTGTCACATGATGGGGACCATATTCAGAGCTGGTGTCTATTAGTACTGCTA